TTGTTTTACTATGGTTTCAAATATCAAAAAATTTCTATATGTGACACGGCACCAGAGTTAAGTTAGGGTTTTTCAAAATGCTGACACGCCAAGCTCAAAAGGTTCGCCATCACTGGCCTAGGAGATCCGTCTGTCACCAAAACTACTATTCCCAGAATTCCTGGTGCTCCCCGCGCTCTTGGTTTTCCCTTCCTGCTCTGTCTCCATCCCATGGCCTCCCACTCTGCCAAGTTCTCCAAGCCGCCAACTCTCTCTCTCTCTCTGCTCTCCATCTAGCAGCTTTGGGAGCCAATTTCCCCAAGCCGCTCCACTCTCCGCCTGCTCTCCCGCTCTGCTCTCTGCCCAGTGCCTGTGTATGCAAATTAACCCGCCATCTTTGTTGGGTTGATTTGCATATTCACTCCTGATTGGCTGGTGAGTGTAGCAGAGGGACAGTCAATTTACATGTTTATCTTTTATTATATAGGATAGTGCCAATCTATGGACACTATTTTCATCTTGGGACCTAACGGCATTTTCTTGCAGGATGTGCTCAGGAAATTGTGTTTATCTCATCACTAAGAGCTCTACTATTGGACAGTGGCTTAAGATTTGAGAGGAGATTCTGGTTCATGGACTTTCAGTTGAATCCTCCCATTTTATCTCTCTCTCCTTCTTGCTCTTATCACTTGTAGATGAATTCATTTTAATCCTACACTCTCGTCTACACAGCTACAAAGTACACTTCTTTCATGATATGATAAGAAAGAAGTGGGGCGGAAGAAGCCAGTAGACTATGCACTCCCTTGCTGTGATCCTCAAAGACAAGTATTATTAATCCCATTTTATGGGCAAGGCTCACATTGCCCAAGGAAACTTATATCTGTGTTACGCCTGCATGATTGTTTTTCTTTCTTTTTCTTTAAGATTTTTAAAATTGATTTTTAGAGAGAGAGGAAATATCAACATGAAGCCTGCATGCCCCTCACTGGGAATGGAACAGGCAACCTTTCAGTGCACAAATGACGCTCAACCACTGAGCCACATCAACTAGGATGCACCATTGTTTTTCTAGATCATATTCCCACATCCGAAAGCTAAAATTCATTGAAGACTTTCCCTTTTTATGTCTTTTTAACAAACAGTGTTTGTATGTAAAACGTATTCTCAAAGTATCTGAATATGGCCTTTAAAGAAAAAGAGTAATGAATTATAAACCTCCCTGCAGAAGTCACTTTTGAATGACTAGGTTTTTCAGTCTTCAAAAACATGGCAAGTGCTCTTGGCAATTGGAAGAGGTCAAGTGCACTTTCATAGTCATAGTTTAACTTGCTTTAGAGTCCATGGTTCAATGCTGATGTAACTGACTAACTGAAAGAGGTAATGAGCTTAATACCTAACTACTATTTAAGCTAAAACCAGACAATCTTCATGGTTTAAGCTCTCCACGTTTTAAAATCCACCAATGATAAGAATGGAGATAAATAAAATAAAACCTGCTAAACATCCTTGTGTTCCTAAAGAAAGGAAAACAAACAAACTCAACCTTTTTTCCTAGAAACCTTCTCAAACGGAGCCTGAAGTATATAATATACACCACCCATGCGTGGCAAATTTGGACCCATAGGGCTGTCTTAATCCAAAGTAAACAGGAGAATAATAAGAATCAATTCTTCAGAACAAAGATGCAATAGCAGCATTGTGTCAAAATATTAGCTGTTAGCTGCCTGAAGCAGTTGAGGGAAAGCCCTGGAGTCACAAGAACTCCTAGGCCAGTGATGGCGAACCTTTTGAGCTCGGCGTGTCAGCATTTTGAAAAACCCTAATTTAACTCTGGTGCCGTGTCACATATAGAAAATTTTTGATATTTGCAACCATAGTAAAACAAAGACTTATATTTTTGATATTTATTTTATATATTTAAATGCCATTTAATGAAGAAAAATCAACCAAAAAAATGAGTTTGCGTGTCATAGGTTCGCCATCACTGTCCTAGGCAGAAACAGACAATGAATGGTATTCCTTGCTCTGCTTTCAGTAACTCTAAAAAATAATTTTAACCAGAAACTTTCTTGTAAAATAGGGCTTTTGATTAATTAGCATTTGCATAATGATTTATCTTTCAAAGTAGGAATTATAATCCCTTTAAATAAAGACTCCTTTGTGTCCCCAAATCACTGGACTCCCAGAGTTAGAGGCTGAAGGAGGCCCCCAAACCAGAGCAAACTGCCCACCCTATTGCCACAGCTCCAGATTATCCAACAGCCTCTCAAGTTTAACTTTAGCAAATGTCTGAAGTTTCCCGAGGAGGTTACTAGCCTCAGAGAAGCTACTGATTAACAAGGATTTAACCTCACTTAATTAATAGAACTCAAGGAAGCCTCCAAGTTATTGCTGTTTCCTTACATAGACTCCACAGAGCAAGAATTTAATCTTACACTCATGCACATTTCCTATGAACTTTTATTCCTTCAAAAATCTCTCTCATGTCCAGCCAGTGTGGCTCAGTGGTTGAGTGTCGACTATGAACCAGGAGGTCATGGTTTGAATCCCCATCAGGGCACATGCCCAGGTTGCAGGCTCCATCCCCAGTGTGGGGCGTGCAGGAGGCAAAAAACAACAAAAGAATAAATTAAATGAAAAATATCCAGGACATTCCTAGATATCAGGAAGGCAATAAAGTATTAGTGCTAGAAGCTGGGACATTTGCCACCTAATGTCTGTAAGCAGCAGTTCTCCTTGATAAATGCCCATAAACATATATCAGGAGATAATGCTTTCAAGAGAATGAAAGATTAGACCCACATTCTGGATCTAGCCCAATCTTGAATGTTTATAAAAGCAGCAACGGGGGAGGGTCATTTAAGTGAGAAACAAAATACTGATAGCAAAAGCTCTTTAATAGCACAATATTTAAGTTAGAGGTGGTTAATTTTAGTTTTGAACCAATTATTAACTCATTGATGTATCTATCAGGAGTTTCAATGAGTCAAAACTTGTAACTTAGAATGAGAAAAAAAAAGTTAAGATCAGATCAAAAGAACAAAAGACAATGATGGGGGGGGGGGATAAGGACACATATGTAATACCTTAATCCAGTGGTCGGTAAACTCATTAGTCAACAGAGCCAAATATCAACAGTACAATTGAAATTTCTTTTGAGAGCCAAATTTTTTAAACTTAAACTATATAGGTAGGTACATTGATATTAACCTAATTAGGGTACTCCTAAGCTGGCCTTTGCTAAAAACATCCTCAATCTGATTAAGGTCGACCCCTTCCAACTCTCCCATCCTCAACTTGTGTGCTGCGTATCCCCCTGCCCGCCTGCACCGCGTCTCCTGTCGCCTGACCAACCGATCGACATCCCCCACTTCTTCTAACGCCACTTCTTCAAAATAGATTCTCCCAGGCTGAAAACCGACTTCTGCGCATGGGCCACTAAGTTTCAATCGCACTGTACATGTGCGCCCGCACTTGGTATTTTGTGGAAGAGCCACACTCAAGGGGCCAAAGAGACACATGTGGCTCGCGAGCCTCAGTTTGCCGACCACTGCCTTAATCAATAAAGAAAAAAATTTAAAAAAACAACAAAAGAATAAATTAAATGAAAAAAGAGGAGGGTTGTGACTGCTTTTTGAAACAATATAGTGTGTTTACAGATGAGCAGGAAAGAAAAAACAAAATTACTGTACTTATTTTTGCTGGAAAGAACAGAATGAATATCGTTGTGAGGGAATTGAAGGACAAGATAGTAGAGACGATAGTAAGAGAGCAAATAATTGCTCTTCACTCTGGTGAGATTACACTCGTGTATTCAAGCACGACAAAACCAATTCCTTTATCTTTTAATAATCACAGAGTGCAAGCTACCAACCAATATATGGAGAATGATAATGTATTTTAGAAAGTGATTATAAGAAACCATACAGAAATAAGTTTGAGGTTGATCTGCCATAAATTTTTGGACTTGATTATTCAAAAAGATAATGTGCCAGCCAGTCTTCCTAGAGTTTGATGGGAACCTGGAGGTGGAGTGAGGCTTAACTCTTAGCAAGGAAAGGGAAGTTTTCCTGGAGAGGGCGGTGCCTGAGCTGAGCAGGAAAATGCTGTAGACAAGCCACTGGACAGGGTCAGTCAGAAGATAGGGGCTGCATGATGATTGTCGTGAGGGGCCTTGTAACTAATTGAAGAAAGTCAGTGAGAGTTAACTATTTGAAAAAAACCGCAGTTCAATCCCTGATTCTTATTATGGTTAACATGTTGCATAGGACTTGAATAAAGGCATCCTCACTAAATCTATTGCTATGGTGGGGTAGCCCTTGATGATGTAAGAATATCCAAAACCTGTAGAGAATTTTCATAACAATTTATTTGACTCAAATCAGGATATTCCTGGAAGCAAGATCTCAGCAGGCTGAGAAAAAATGCTCATAAGAATAACATTTTTCAGTTTCTTGTTTGCATTTGAGATTAAGGAGAGAACCTAAGGAAGATGGCATGAAGGTGGGAGAAAGGAAGGCAAGAATTGGATTACAGAACAGTTAAAGGTATGTACTGTTTTGAAGGTGGCCAAGTTTTAGAAGGAGGGTTCTAAAGGGACATTTCAAAGGTGTGTTGACCTAGATGCACAGAAACAATAGACAGGGCTTGCTTAAAGCAACGATAAGCCTTTTACTGAAGAAGTTATGTGCCTGACTACCCACCGTGACCTGCCCACTCAGGAATTCATGATCAGACCACCCTGAGAGGCTACTTTCCTGGGCATCCCTTACACCTGCGTCTATTTAAAGCTCTTAGATGGCTGCTCCTTCGATCTCCGAGTGTTACTAACCCTCAGCCTCACCTTGCATCATGCCCTCCGTACTCCCTATGCCGGCCACAGTGGCCCTCTTCCAGTTCCTCAGGGCCTCTAGAAAGAGGAATTCCTTGTGGGGTGAGAGTTGAGGATGCACAGCTTTTCTTGCTCTAGGTAAATAGTTGTGTGTAAAGTTTAAATAGAGCCACATATTCCCCCATGGAGCACCTAATTTTGCTGCCAATACAGATAGTTAATCTTGGATGCTTTTAACTATGGGATGTTTTAATCCTTCAAAAACACACCTTAATATATATAATGTGATTATATTATATATTGCTGCTTTTTTAGAGAGAAGGGTAGAGAAAGAGAGAAACACTGACCAGCTGCCTCCTGCACACCCCCCACTGGGGATTGAGCCCGAAACCCAGGCAAGTGCCCTTGAATGAAATTGACCTGTCAACCTCCTGGTGCATGGGATAACGCCCAACCACCTGGGCCACACCGGCCAGGGTAATATATATTTTTAAATATGCAAAAGTGATAGTTTTTACCCAAAGCTTTAAGAGACTTTACATGTTTCTGCTCATCCCTCTGGGGGCTTTTGACCTCAGCCATAAGAAGAGCATTCCTCAGGTAGCTGCTGCTCCTCAGGCCCCAGGCCAATAACAAGACATGCAGACCAAACCTAAGCTGAAGCAGAGCCACCATGGCCAATCTACAGACCCAGGAGCAGGAAAAGTAAAAGCTTGTTGTTTAAAGGAAAAAGAAACAGTTACCTGTAGCTCCCTAGTGTATTAATACACGTGGCTCCATTCTGGCAGCCGAAGGGTGTTCCCGCGTAGATCTCACATTCATTTACATCCGCTGAGCACAGAGGACCCTGTGTTTGTGTAAAGAACAAAGTCAGGTGCCACAGGTTACAGAGGCATCCGGGGCTCACGTGCCAATGAGATATTTAAGGATTTACACACAGACAGTAAAGACAGTCAAGCCAAATCCAATAACAGCAGTACTAATATTAATCTCTGGTTAGCCTTCCTCTGGAACTCAGATTTCACCCCATAGGAAAACACCAGTCACACAAGAAGGATCCTATGCAAACTAATTCTCATTTCACTAGGGCGCTGTGCCTGGGAATGCTCACCAATTGTATTTTAATAAGCATGTCAGGTACATTGACACCATGAATAGGAAAGAACAAGAAAATGCACATGGCTATGTCAGATTTCTTTAGTACATTTGATGCTAAACAATTTAAATGGATGTTAGCCGAAATAGTATACACTTCCATGTAGTTATCCACTCCAGTGAACCCCTCTTTACGATGGCTTAGCATTTAGTGGGTTATATATGCCTGCTTGCCATTGTTTGGATTTTGGCATACATAGTATAATTCATTCCGATTCAGAAGACCACAGAATCCTAGAAACTTTAGATGGAAAATTAAATATGTCTGAATGACTCCAAGGAAACCACAGATGCTGACTCACCACCATTTTTAACCAAAGACCCAGTGACTCACCTTCCACTGTGAAGGACAGATACAAAAAAAGGAATCATGAAGATTGAGGCAGGTTCCACCGTTTTGGCAGGGATTGCTGCTGCAAACCTTTTTGTCAACTGTCTGAAACAAAGACAGGACGGTCAGAGAGGGAGTGGTACTTGCCACTGGCGACAATAAAAGGCCTGTCTCGGTGCAGATGTGTATGTACAGCTACATTTTACCCCAGTCCCTGAGGGTCTTCCTCCAGATGTTAAATCAGTTACTTAATTCTTCTTCAAATCTATGCTCTTGTGAAAAAAATAAGTGTTTCACATAGGTCCTATTCATGTTCCTTCACTATTTGCATGGATTTAACCATGGATGGGATGAAGCATGAGGTGAGACAATTCTCACTCTATTCTTTGGGAAAGCATTTTTCGCCAGAGAAATATATGTTGGTAGACAAGCGTAAAGAGTTCAGGTGTGGGAATAATAATGGACATTCTTATTGTGCTAAGAAAATAAAATGGAAATGCCGGTTCTTTTGCTGTTGCCGTTATCTTTAGTCCCTCCAGATAAGCATTTGAAATAGGATCATCTTTTGCTGTCACCCCTCCTCCAAGAGTCAAGATGACTGAACTCTTTTCATCCAGGCCCCTTTGTTAGCAATGTGACCCCCTTAGATACACCCTCCACTCTCATGCTCACATGACTACTTTCAAACTCGATTCACAAACAGACCGCCTTTGTCTACACAACCTGGGGAATACTCAAATCAGTTACCAGTTCCAATCTTGTAAGATTTGTAATGGTTCGGAGGAGGAGGGGGCAGAGAAAACTTCTTTAGAGAGGACAAGTGATTAGGTAAGGAAAGGTATGCTATTAATTTCACCTAATCATAGTCTAATTCTATGTTTTAAAAATGAAAATAGGAGTAAAGTGTTCACTATATTCCTGTTAATATTCAGCAACTCACAAAGAAAATCAAGCCTATTGCTGTCATTCTACAGAGGAACTGGGGGCCAGAGGACAGCCAACCAAATGTCTCGGCACCATTTATTGCAAAGCCCATTCTCGCTTCATCTTTGTCATAAGTCAGGTGACCATACACGTGAAGGTTTCTTTCTGGACTATGTTTTCTTCCATCATTCTATTTGTCTCTCTTTGTGCCAATACCACAATTAGCCCTGTCCATCAAAGGACACTATTGAGAAAGTTAACCACATTCTCTTTAAATGTTTTCCTGGTGTACAAAAGCAACTTTGTCTGGGGAACAGAAACGAATAAGCCTATGGGGACCCGACAGGAAATGGAATCGCTGAGCACTCAGGAGGAAGACAATAGGGAACATGGAGTCTGTCCTGCCCAGAGAGCACCTGCCCTATCTGAAGGCATAAAGGCACTTACATTCAACATCATTACAAATTCTTTCTGGGGGATAACAAGGACAGTCTGAGCTCATTTCATCATGGCACCCAGCTCTAGAAGTCTGGTAGAAATAGTGACGCACTCCATGAGACTGAAAATGCTAGTGCTGGGTCTTGATCCACAGGTGTGATTCATTGTTCACTTTCATTCACTTAGTTACTCCTTTAAAAGATCAAGGCTAAGCATACGATTTATTATCTAAGTCGGGAAGAGGAATAAATTGACTTGTTTGCCAAATATGAAACATCAAAGCAGAAGACATCATTTGAAGCATACTCAAATCAGATCAAGAACATTAGGGCAGAGCCCTAGCTGGCTTGGCTCAATGGATAGAGCATTACCCTGCGGACTGAAGGGTCCCAGGTTCGATTCTGGCCAAGGGCACATGCCTGGGTTGCAGGCTCGATCCCTGTTTGGGGGCGTGCAGGAGGCAGCCGGTCAATGATTCTCTCTCATTGATGTTTCTCTCTCTCTCTTCTTCTCCCTTCCTCTCTAAAATTAATAAATAAATATATTTAAAAAAAAAGAAAGAAAGAACATTAGGGCAGAGATTGTTAACCTGGAATCCCCTGCCTTTTATTTAAATATTTAAATATGGGACACTGTGCATTTCTTTGGGTAGAAGGTTATGACTTCCATGAAACTCTCAAAAACACCAGCCTACTACAAAAGGGATTTAAAAAAAAAAAACAAACCCCTGACAAGGACTAGTTTATAAGCCTGTAGTACAACAACGAAAGGTATACCCTAAGACAAGCATGTCAAACTCAAAGGCTAACACGGGCTAAAGAAAAGAGGCATGCAGCCTGCGGGCCGAGAGTTTGACATGCTTGCCCTAAGAGATTGTTCAAATTTACCAGCAAGCCTACTTTTATTTTTTTAAATATATTTTATTGATTTTTTTACAGAGAGGAAGGGAGAGGGACAGAGAGCTAGACACATCGATGAGAGAGAAACATCGATCAGCTGCCTCCTGCACATCCCCACTGGGGATGTGCCCGCAACCAAGGTACATGTCCTTGACCGGAATCGAACCTGGGACCCTTCAGTCCACAGGCCAAAGCTCTATCCACTGAGCCAAACCGGTTAGGGCAGCAAGCCTACTTTTAAACAAGTTTGGAATATTTTGTGATATACCTCAGACTTCTTAATTTAATGTTAGAGAGGACAAATGATCTTCAAAACTTAGTCCTTGATGCCAGAATCAGCAAGCTGGGTGGTCAGCAGCTGAGCAGAGAGAGCACACTTAAGCCCACCATATCACCACTGAAGGGTGACGGCATAAGAGGAAGAGCACGTGGAGTGCTGAGCGAGTCAGAGGCCGCAATGCTCACATGCCCAGTGACCTTGGGCTGGTCACTTCATCTCTCTGAGACTCAAGTTCCTCATCTCTCTCCTGGGAAGCATAAAGTAGGATGATAATTAAACTATAGCAAAAATCAAAGTCCTTGATATGAATCATCCATCCATCTAAAGATAAGAATACTAGATTCATTAATGATGTTAGGTATGTAGTACTTATGGGACTTACCTGCTGTAAGCTTTGAACTTTTCTCTCAAGATCCACAAACTAGAAGTGGGGAGGAAAGAGCATAAGTTACCTGTTCAAAGGCATTTTACATAAACTGTTATCCCCTTGACATGCTTTTCTAATGCCCTCCTTTGGGGACTCACTTTATCTGTTTGTTTCTTCTTTTAGTGCCAGACCCCTCATCATTCCTCTCCCCTCCAAGCTTCCTTTTCTTTCTACTTTCATCACATAGACTTTTTAAAAAAGAACTACAACCCACTGATGAATTGATTCATTGCTTCTCTGCACACAATGACTCTGGGAATTTTTATCAATGACAGGGATTCATCCACTTCTCCAATAAGAAGGTTGTTATCAGAACATGAGCAAGGCTACTTATGCAACAAGTTCCTGCTACAGTATTTCCAACATTCTGCCCATCACCACATCCACATCCTCTATGAGAGCTGTGTCATTTAACCAAAACGTCCATGATTGTAATGTTAAATTTCTACAGAAGACACAAAGTTGGTATGTTTCCTGCCAAATGGTTGCTTATGAAGGTGAATTGAGGAGACCCCACTTGCTTTAATGGTATAGATGTCAGACTTACCTTAGAATTAAGCTGATGTATTTGACTAGAAATATTTTGAGGCAGACCACCTGCACTCCTTTTTAAATCTGCAATATCGTCTTTGTTTTTCTGGATCTAATTTTAAAAAGAAGATGAAGAAGAAAAAGAATGAGGAGGATAAGGATGGAAAGAGGGGGAAGAAGCAAATAAATGCGAGTGAAAAATGTTCGTATGTGTTACAGGAACAAAACTTTAAAATTTGAGCATTATTTTATTTTAAGCACTAAAATCTTGGCCATTATTATAAAAACCAAAACACTGCCATGTATAATAAACTTCAGACTAAAATAGCCATGGCATAATTCCATTTACCATTTTCAGCGACAATCTCTCCAAGTATTTTCCATTTGCAGTATTCCCCCATAATAACAGTTTAGAGGGTTTGTTAAAAGGCCTGGCTTGGAATCAGACTGTTCGGGTTTCAAATCCTGACTCAGCCATTCTGTGTGTGCCCTTGTGCAAGTGACAGAACGGCTGCAGGGTCCCTTTACCCCCTATAAACGGGGTCATCATCAGCCAGCTTCCTGGGCAGCTGTGCGGGTTAGATGAGATAATGCACACAACGTGCAGAGCACAGTGGGCAGCCCACAGCGAGCTCTAAAGAATGCCAGCTGCTCCACCACGGCTGACACACCAGCATGATGCAGCTAAGAAGGAGCACTGGAAACACTCGAGAAGAAGGGAAATAATTGGCCAATTCTGTTCTGTGGTAAAAGTGAACTGGTCACTTCTCCTTTCTCTGGTGCCCCTCCTTCCTTGGTCCCCATGTGGAGGAGTCCCCAGTATTATCTCTGGACTAGAGTGTGTAAGCCTGCACAGCACTAGCAGCACACCCTCTGCCCATCGTTAACCCGAGGGCATGGCTCTTTACAGGGACTTGTGCCCCCTCCAATTATGTGCCCTGTGCTAAAGATTCAAGGTACAGATTAATAAGTAACTGGTCAATTAAGTGACCATACCTGGATATACAAAATTACTTCAATATATTTCCAACGTATTACCTGTTGTAAACATTCGCCAAGGTCTTCATCATTTAATTTAATTTTCCCCAGGGATCCAGTTTTAAATTCAATGTTTTGAGCAGACCCAGTAAGAAACACTAAATTTCCTCTCTCTGTAGCCATTCGAGGCCTATATAATACAAACCAGAGAATGCATCATTAATTAGGATATAATTTTTTAAAATATATTTTTATTGATTTCAGAGAGGCAAGGAGAGACAGAAAAATCAATGATGAGACAGAATCATTGATCAGCTGCCTCCTACACACCTCACACTGGAGATTGAGCTTGCAACCCAGAGTGCCCTGACCAAGAATTGAACAGTAACCTCCTGATTCATAGGTCAACGCTCAACCACTGAGCTATGCCAGCCGGGCAGAACATATAATTTTTAAATCCAAAAAATGGATTTTCTCACTGAATATTTATAGACTGCATATAACTTCACTTTTGGTCAACTCAAGTAAATTCTCCCTGTTCATATGCCATTCATTTCTCTGCAAATTTCCAAGAGATATCTCCATTTTGCATACTTGCTTTATTTGCAAAATGATAAATAAATGATTTGTGTAGAAGATAATTCCACATATTTTTTCCTATTTGTTTTTAATATCATTATTTTTCTCAAGAAAAATTACTCCTTTGCTTATCTGGCTATTTGGGAAAATGGATGAGGAACAACCCTAGTCCATCAGCAGAAAAAATATGCATGGATCTACTTACTGTTGGAGGTCAGTAATCCTTGTTTGGCTCTGCAACTCAAGTCGTCCAGTTTCACCATCTGATTTTGCAAATGTCAATAAAATAACCACACTCCAAAGGAAAGATGAGGACATGTTCCTCACCAACCCTCCTAGGTTGTCGGGTAAGAGGGAGGCCACTCCAACCGAGTGTGGGAGTCTGGAGAAAACAGACCAGGCAGGTGTACTTTGACCTCTTGAATGTCCTGCAAGTTTTTAATTCTTTCTTCTTTGCCCTAGAAGGCTAAGTTTT